GCTGAACCAGAGGAAGCTGTGAGTATCTGGAATAGCTCCAAATGCAGATGCAAATAATTCTGCACAGATCTCTGCAATAAGAAAACAGCAGCCTGTGCACAAACTCAGCAAGTTACACTACAATCTGAAAACAGCAAAAAGCATTCAGAGTTGTTCAACAGAGCAGCATGCTTTTTGGAAGCACAGGTCTCAAGATAATTGTCACCTGGCTACAAGGAATTACTTGAAAAACACCCAGTGCTATTATTATAACATGGATGCATCACTACTGGTACCACAAGAACCGTCTATATGTTTTAACAGTGATGATGAAAACATCAAAAATATACTTGTGAAGGGTAAAAAGTAACGACACAGTGAGAACGTCCTGAAAAAGTAACAGGAAACTACTTCTCACCTACCAGAAATTAAGTTGATTCATGGCACTAATCCAAAATGAAAATTTAGTGCCAGTCCTAGTTCTAGAAATTTTTGATCTATATTTTTATTTATACTTCAGAAACAAATTATTAGAAGTGAAAGCCTGGAAACAGTAGATTTGTAAGCTGAGGGCAAAATACATTACTTATTTAGCACTACTAATTTGCTTTGCATTTGCATGAAAAAAGGTATATGTAAATTACAGAGAACATGGAGGGGGCAGAATGGACCCCCCTGTAACAGTCCTTTCCCTTTCCACCCTCCATCTTTTAAAGTGTGAGAGCAAAAACTTGACATAGCAACTTGGTACAGTTCACAGACTTTGATCATGCCAGTGTATCATTTGTGGCATCAGAGAGATGTAAACAGCAATAGTGCAGAAAGTAATAAATACTATCAACAACAAAAGACATAGACACCATCAGCGTGTAAGTTATGTTCACAGAAACATGAACTCTTGTTGATATGTGAAAGCTCTTTTGGAAGGTCTCTGGCATATAAGAGTTATCAGAATTTGTCTTTCAGCAATGTTTTGTGTTTATCTCCATTTTACACCACATTTGTACTTCGTTTATTGATCCTCTTCAAAAGGGGATGCAGGCAGATTGAAACCACAATAATTTAGTAATACCAAAAAGGATTTATAGACACAGTCTACATAGTCTCGCTCACATAATCACTCTACATAAGAAAAGCAGTACCTATTAATTGTGTCACCATATGTTGCTCTAATAAGTTGCTGAAGCAGATTTTTTATATTTCTTCTTAACCACTGATTTCTTTCCTTTAAATCAAAGACTTCATCCATAAGGAGGAGCATTACTCTCAGTGGAATATTGTCATCCACCTGATCAAATGAGAAGAAGTACAATCAGTCAACTTTTATTTCGGTTCAAGAAAGGTAAAGTTCTAGTAGCTACTTCACAGGTCAAATGCTTCAGTACAAGCAGAACAATGACAGAAACACTTTGCTCTATATTTTACTGTAATATGAAATCTTCCCTACATCCTCTATAACATCACTCATAGCAAAGAAAGATTGAAAATTAAAGGTAAACTGGGCTTAAATCCATTGAACTTTTAAAGTAAGACAAAAGAAACCAAGTTATTTCACCAAAGTTGAATAAAGTTAATACAAGTAAATATGTCCGAAAGAGGGAGCTCATCCCTGAGCTCTTCCTTTGGTAATTGAGCTTCCAACTGCCTAACATGAAAACTCTGACAGGAGCTTTTCTCTGACATCTTTTTCTTACGGATGCACTGCGCCAAATTCAGAACCTGCTAAGAACACTTCGCTATACTGCACTGCAATGAACTGCCTTTTATTTAGATATCATTCTAACCTGCATGGTTATTAAGTGCTTTTATGTTTGTAGATTAAGAAAAGCGTAAGCATCACCAATTTCATCATTTAATAGAAGATGTTACACAGACAGTGACTGTAAGTTGTGAACAATGCATCTTAAAAGAGCAGTTGACAGTTGAAAGGTTTTAAAACATTTGAAATAGGCCTTTCAGAAACACTTTGTATGTTAACTTAGAAGCTATCAAGAATTGTAGCCTCTACTCATTTTGCAGAAGATCAATGAAATATTTGCAGAGAAACTTTTCATATACTAGAATGATATTATTTTGTTTTGCCTGTGCAAAACAGAAGCCTCAGGAGTATCAAAGATACACATTTGTAATTACATATTTACAGATACAGTCTGATATAGTGAAAAATAATAGGAAAAAAGAAAACGCAGAAGAATTCGAATCTATGTTATTTGAGCAAATACACATCTACCAAGCCATCATAGCAGTTATGGTCAGAAAGACAAACTGGAATGCTTTGATGTGACCAAAAAAACCCGAAATGTGAAGGGCAGAACAGGTGCAGATTTATGACCGTAGCAAATTGCATATAATCACTGGTAATTTTATGGCCTTTCTGTCCTACTTAGAGATAAAAGTTTTTTTCCAATTGTTTTCACATATATGATCAATGTTTCAATTGAAACAATAGCAAAACACCATATCTTATGATAACATCAAGAGCTTAAACTTCAAGTTTCTAATATTACTGCTTTATACATTTTAGGTATCCACATACTATAAGTTTATTATTTAGGAACACGTTCTGAAGGTTTTTTCCACAACATCGCAAACACTACTTCTGATCCGTTAAACAAATGTGCCTTAAAAGGTCCATAAAATGCCAGCTGAAATGATGCTAACAGTGTGGTACTACGCTATCTTTGAACAGACAGAAATTGGAAGGAGAAAGGAAAAACAAACCCAAACAAACCCCCACCCACAAAACACAGAAGCAGTAGCATGTGCACTCTAAGTTACTTCACTCTTGTGCAAACCATTTTAGTACTAACAAAGACGTTAATTTTAGAAGGAAGCATCTTGACTTTTTAAGAAGTCAAGAACTGTTTGTAAGCACCTGGTATAACATCAGAAAACAATAAATATATAGTTTAATACATAATAAGTAACTCAGTTTGGTTTTAGAGAAGCCATCTTTGAAAGGACAACGTCAGACTCACATTGTCATCAATTGGTGCTGCAACACGGCAATGGTCAGGATCTGAATAGGTTTTCTGGATCAAAGGAGGCACCTACAACAAAAAAAGGTAATGTTTATGAAGGAAAGAATACTTCAGAATACCAATAAATCATATCAATTTTCATAATCAAATTGATTATGAAAATAAAACCAAACATTTGGTCAAAAGTCAGTTGCATACCACTGCAGATAAATATACAGTAGTCCTTTCATCCTCCAACAAATCAAGCCTGTAGGTATTCTCCTTATAGTTATCAATACCTTTAAGACAACCCACATATATTTTCTCAAGTGCCTTAAACTGAAAAACACCTAGAAATTCATATGGGGCTGATAATTCTTCTGGTATTTCCTCTTGATCTTAAGTCCTACCTAGTCACAAACTTCCCAGTGAGCATGCTGATATATTGTTAGTCACACACCAGGGAAGTTACCAGCAAGTCATTTTATCTCCCAGGTAATGAAAAAAACCAGACAAAAAAGTGCTGCCCACCCGCCTCCCCCTCCCCCCAATTTACTATTCCCTTTCATGGTTTAAGGGTTAACTCATCTCGGTTGCTGTTCCACATCTGCCACATAACTGTTTTGGTAACACCAAATGGAACAATCTCTGATCACAGACCTTACAGCTACACACAGGAAGAGGAGGGCAAGGGAAAAGAAGGTAAGATGGACATGTTAGGAAGATTACTACTTTCATAGGACTTACAGATAGCATGCCATGCTACCATTCTCCACCTCTAAGGTATCACATTTTAGGAATGTAAAAGATGAGGAAAGGTGGTAGGAAAGACAGAAAGAAAATTTAATTAAAAACAGAATTCAGCAAGGAATAAGCAGAAAAGAGGTTATCACCTTATTCTAAGGTTCAGGACTTTTTTTTTTCCCCTAATGAAAGCAGCAGATACAGCAATGAGAATGGTTGGTAAGAAATTAAGAAAATTAGTGACTCTTGTATTCTTCTCAAGTGGCTGCATTGAATTAATTGAAGAAGGATTGCTGTAACAGTCTGTAGATGCAAAGAGAACTCCATGTTT